TCCTGCTGAGGGTCAGCAATTTTGAAATACCAAGATATTTTCATTTTTTCTTTTACAATTTGATCCTGGAACCAAGAGTTTCTTCTGATCATGAATTTCCAACCCCCAAGAGCATAGTCCAAGTTTATTTCGAAACTTTTTTCTGTTTAATAAAAAATAATAAATGGCAGTGGCAATATTTGAGGTAGATAAATCCCAGTTAAGATAAAGTCCAACCTGTTTGAGACCTGCTATTCTATCTAAACCACATGGTTCTGCTGCATCTGTGTACCCGAGGAAACGTATAAAGAATGAGAAGTGACAGTAGGGAGTTGACTTTCAACTTAATATGCACATAGCAGTTGAAGAAATGAGATAATTATTGAGTCGTTGGAAAAGTCACGACACAGTTTTACACAGGAAAACATAGAAACATATGTCATGACTTTCTTGACGATCCAATATCTAAGAACTCTAAGCAAGAGCTCACTGGCTTTTTCTTTTTTTTTTTGGTTTGTTTTTAGTCAAGCTTACATATTTATAGAAGTGAAATTTGTTATGTGGGTTTTTAATGAATATTCAAATGATGGCATCAATTTTTCCATATCGTTTTTATTTTGTTTCTTCTTTGGTAAGTATTATTCTTGTATGTGTGAGGTCGAATAAAACAACAGTGTAATTACTTTCTCTGTTTATCAGATAATATAAGTGGAACAATTGTGAAGTTTAAATAACACGGACCATTCTTACTAATTTTTCTATCCCCAGAGTCTAGCACAATGCTCAGGACATGGGAGGTGCTTTATACAGCACTGCTTAATGCGAATCAGTTGATGTAATCAGATTTTTTTTTTTACTGTGATTTTTTTTTTTGACATGTAGAAATGGTATCAATTGTCTTTTTTCTTTAAAGTTAATTTTCTCCATGAGAGAAAGAGGCAGAAAAAGAGAAAGACAGAGAGAGAGAACCTGAACAGTATTGTCAGGTTGCCATATACCCCCAGCTCCAGCAAATCTAGCTCACAGGTACACACGTGTGTGCCTAGCATGTAAGGGAGGTCTTGAGATGTGAATCCAGACCTTCCCATGTGGGTCTAATTTCATTACTGTTGGTCATTGTGTAGTCTAGTTATTTCTTTGTTATGTTCTATTCCCATTATTATCTCACTAAGACGTTCTTACGAAACTCATATTAGACTTATAATAATAATAGTTCCATTAATTTGAATGATTTTATGAGAAACAGTCATATTCATTATTTTAGCATGTTCTTACCATATCCTTGTGAAATCAGAAACCTAGATGCTAAAACATGATTCTTCAGCATTTTTTATTCTACTAATCAGGTCGTAGGCATAACAAATACATTTTTAACTTCTAATAAAAAAATTCTTCCTAAAGGCTTTTGATTAATAGGGTTAAAATAATGATGTGGAGTTCAGAAAATAAAGCTTCTGGCACCTTTACATGGTTGGTGTGAATATAAGATTTAATTTTATGTGGCGATTTTCCAAATCGGAGTTGAGCGTGATGGAAAAGTCAACTCTAGCCTATCTACTTCAGGACTGTTTATGATGTGGATTTATTCCAAGTATGGCGTCTCACTGGAGACACCTGAACATTGGTAATGCACCCACAGATTACAAAATAGTTTTAATAACAAATTCAACATGTTGGAAATGTCCATTGAGTTATTAGACTAATGCACATATTGTTCAGCTCTTCATGGGGATTATTGAGAACTGATTCAAAATGAAAACCTGTACATTAACAAAACTTAAATTCTGCAAACACAGAAAAAAGATTGGCCTTTTTTTCCCTAACTTGTCTGCTTGTTTTTTTTCTCTGCTTTGCCTGGTTCATGGTCTTTCTATTTTCTTATCAAAGAGAATAGGCCTTAGGTTCTATTCAGTTGCTTTGTCTTTCCATAAATGAATTTTGCAGTTGGTTCTGCCAATAAGACAGTCAATATTTACTTGATTTACTTATTTTTCAGAATTTTAGATCTGGAAAAGTATGGTGTTTTTTATTTTTTTTTTTTGAAAAAAATTTTTTAGAGGTTTTTTGCTATAGGGCCCGTGCGCTCGCCAAAAAGACAGAGAGAGACGGACAGATAGAAAGCAAGAAATCACTCCGCCCCTACCCCGGGGGGATGGCCACACCGCAATCCCTTCTCCTCCATTCCCCTCTCGGGATCTTGGGCATGCATGCACACATGCCCAGCATGAGTTTAAGCCACCGGGTCCAGGACTTGAACCACGGTCAACTACATGGGGGTTCAGTGACATAGCCATTACGCTAACTGCTGGTCCCTGAAAAGTATGATTTTTTCACTAAAATTTAGTCATCCTAATCATCAAGGTTGTCCTTATGTTGACTTTAACTAAGTCTTCCTCATTTTCTAAATTTTGTTGTAGAGATAACATTTGTTAATGCCACTAGAAATTTTTTATTCAGGTAGTTGTATTGTACCTTAGTCTTTTGTTTTCTCTAAAAGATGTAATCTCAAGTTTCACATGCTATTTTTTTTTTATCCATTTTAATGTTCTCTGACTTTAAATATCTTAAAACGAACACTCAACCATAGGTCTGACTCAGACTTAACTGGATTTGATTATCTTTCAAGTGTTTTTCATCTAAATATGTAAACTCCTTAAAGGTAGGGACCTTACTTTGTTCCAAATTCTTTTTTATGTTCTTAACCTGTAGGAAGTTCCTTTTACATTCATATGATAAGCTTTAGACAAGGTTATTTGCTTAATGATCAAACTGATATTAGTTTATAGCTATCTTTCTTAATAGTGACAATAATCACTTTAAACATTGATTTCATATATGTGTTAGACAAGTTGGTAAGAGTGGTAATGAAACAATACAAATTATTTTACAGAACTGAAGGTTATAATAGCTATTATTGCATAGTCGTCTGTAATAATGGTAAAGTTATCCCAGTATAATTTTATGTCCTATCACCTTGTTTACCTTGTCCTTTGATGTTTGAATAAGACTATAATTGATTTTAATGAGTAGTCTTATTTAGTTATCTATATAGTCTTTTATAGTTATCTTCTTTTCCCTTTTGATTAATTTTTTAAAAAGACTATCCCTATTCTTAGAACAAAATGTTACCACTTGTTAGGAGCAAAGATATGTAAACTGAAAGTCTGAGGTGCACCACAGCTGCCCGCGGTTTACCAAATCAGGCTCCAACCTGTGCAAATTCCTCAGTCTGCCATTTACCTAGGACGAATCTGCAGCCTTACAGAGCAAGTCATGGATGTATCCATCACGTCGATCATAGGCCTTTGCTTAACATTTTCAATGGAACCTGAAGTGCCCTTAAATTTAGAGTGAACTTTTAGGTTGTAGTTCTGTGATTAAGAACTCTCTAAATGTCATATTTCATGGGTAGATATGAATAAGGATAGATATGAATAATTGTAACTTCTTGTTTACAGTGACATGGATGCCTTTTTTTTTTCAGTGATGGGACAGGTTCCCAAAGATGAGCTCTTTAAAGTTCAAAGCTAACTAAGATGATGGGACCCTGGATCAGATATGTGAGTGGATGTTTCATCTAAAGTGGGGCATTGTGAGAGGGCCTTGGGGTTAGGCTGCCTGCTTTTGACTCCTGCCTCTGCCATTTGCAAGCTCTGGGCAAGTGCTAGCAAATGATTCAAGATTTCTGTGTCTGCTTCCTTATTGGCAAAAAAGGGAATAATAATACTTCCGTCAAAAGATGTTGTGAATTTGAAATTATATACTCAGCTTAACGTGCTCAGTTGGCACTCAGTAAGAGTCAGATATTATTATTCTTTTTTCCCCTGTGAGTTACCACTACATCTTTTTTATTTTTTATTTTATTTTATTATTATTATTATTTTTTATCATCTGCTTGCCTTTGCCTAGAACTACCTGGCCCCAGGGATTGTTTTACAGTCTGCTCCCAAAGACTTCCCTTCCCCTTCTTCCCTTTCCTCCTTTCCCAACTGGCAGTGGTTGAAAGGCAACCTTTCTTATGTGTTGTCCCTTCTCCTTTCAGAATTCAACATCCCTTACTAAGAGAAAACGGATTTAAATTCTACAGAGTTCTTATAGTTACCACCTCATCTTTGGTATGAGTCTTGTTCTCCTTGCAGAGATGTTCTCCATTCACTAAAAACGTACCTGCTTTCTTCCCTCTCCATGAAGTCTCTTCTAGAAGAATCAGGAAAGAGGGTGGTGTCTTTTACAGATATCTGCTTCATGCAGAAAAAGTCCTTTGGGGAACTCCTTTGCAAACTCAGCACAAAACCTGTTATATTATTGATTTCTTAAATTCAAAAAGTACGTGTGGTTGCGAAGTATGAGATTTCTGATTTTGCAAAGAAAAAAAAAGAAAGAAAAATGTGTCACTGCATATTTTGGGAAACCATAGAAATGGAGAAAGAGATTGTGAAGTTTATCTCTGTAAGGATTTTGTTGAAGATTTTAAAATTTCATTTCTTGTACTCTATTCAGAGACTCTCAGAAGAAAGTCCCATCTTGCTTTAGTATCAGTTGATTACTCACTTATTTTCCTAAGTCATTGTTCTATCTAGGATTCACTTCATTTATAACTGGTGAAGCTAGTTTCTTCTACTCTTTTGCCATTTTCTTTTTAACCTCACCTTTTCCCCCTTCTTTATTTTTTTGCATTTACATTTTGACTTGGTGACTTTTTTAATCCCGGATGAAGCTCGCATACACTGAAGAGAGGCAGATACATAAAGCGCCCTCCCACCCCCATGATGTCTGGCCACATCACAGTAACTTTTCCTCCTTTCCTCCTTCCTGTCAGGACCTTGAGCATGCATGCACACAGCCCGGGTGTAGTTTGCAAGCTGAGATGTGAACAGCAGTTAGCCATGTGGGACCCATCTCTCTCCACAAAGCAATCACTGTGCTACAGTGCTCGTCCAGTGACTTTATATCTTAAATATCCTGGTAAGCTACCTTAAAATTTTCCTGAAACCAAGGTGGTATATGAAAGCGGTTACATTTGTGAGTATTCAAACTATGGCATCCCAAAGGCATTCATATTCTCACAATGATTACAGTTATTATTTGTTCATCACAGACTGTGCAAAACACTTTGTAAATCATCTCTTTTAATCCCATAATAGTGCTATGCAGAGGATGTTATTTCCTGTTTACTAACATTTATTTATTTCACTAAAGAGAGAGTGAGAGAGAAAGACAAGAACACAGCTCAAAGTCTCACGCCATGCTCCCCATGCACCTCAGCCTTTGTGCAGCCAAGACGACCTGCGTGTGTGTGTGTGCCCCTGGCTTGTACAAGTTGATCCAGGAACAAAACCCTGATCTTCCATATGGCTTCCAGCATTATGGAGTACAGCATATTACCGTTGCATCACCATGGATGGGCAATTTCCCTTTTATAGGTGAGTAAACCAGAGTAAAAAGAGGCAAAGGTCATGAAATTAGTAAATTAGGAAATCTTATTTTGGACACAATTAGACCCAGAGCTTGGACTCTAGCTTCTAGCATTTTTAATTACTTGGGGAAAAATATGATGAAATGAGTTGGCTCATGTTTTGAAGACTTATTGACTTAATATCTTTTGCATGTTAGAGGCAATCAGGGGTTGGCTATCCAAATCTTCATCAGCCATGGCCTTTAATAGTTCAATGTCCTAGGCCTTTAAAATATATTGGAATAATTTAGCATTATTATCAAATGTCAAATTACATATCGAGGCAGGCATAGGACATTCTTATTCACAATCAGCTCCAAGATAACTTTTCCTGAATTAATTTAAAACTTGAGGAAAGTGGGCCAAGATCTTTAGGTGCATTTTTTGCAAATTATTTTTTATAAAATTATGAATTTAGTAATTGCTGACTATACCCTTTAGAATCCATTTTTTTTTACTGTTGTTCGTTTTGAAAGTGAATTATAAATTCAACTGAAATGAGCTAATATTTTTAAGTATTACTACTTGCTGTGCCTGAAAGCTGGAGGGCTTCATCTTGTTTGTACTGAGGAATTAGAAAGGAGAGGAGAAAAGGGCAAACTATTTTCATCTGTTCTTGAGAGAGAAGTCCAAAGGTCTGTGTTTTCTTTACTGTAGGGTATACTGTATGATCTTCCTACAGAATATTAAATGACAAGGGGGAAGGTTTTCTTCTCCCTGCCCCCTGTTTTGTTCCCAATCCCCTTTAATTTTTTTTTTTTCCTTAACCATTTTGGAAAGCATGCTCCTTGCAGGCTTTTAAAAGCTTTTTTGGCATCTCACCCTGCCAGTGTTAACACTGGCAATTGGTACAATTTACAATGGTGCATTAACTTTAAATCTAATTTTTATACCTCTTGCTTAAAGTCGATTTGTGATAAAACTTCTTTGGTAATGATACATGTGTATTATGAATTATTTTATGTGTAGTCCATGAAGTTGAACTACATGGAAGTAAGTGATGGCATATTAATTTAAAAAGTATTATTGAGTCTCTACAAATTAATTTTTGTTGTGTCTTTATCAGCTTTGAACAAGGCCATGATGAGATTCTATGTCCTTGAGTTAGGTAATTTCCTGTCTGGGAAAGAGACACTGAGTGACTAAAATAAATGACTTTAAGTACATTTTGGAATTTCAAATTAACTTCTAACATAAACCTTTCTCCTCTGGGTAACTTCACAGTCATGAGATTTTTAGTATTATAGTATGCCCTGTTTCCTTCATGTGATTAGACCATTGAAGGGTGAGCATTTAGAAGTTTATCTCAAAGGCTTGGGGGCCCTCTGAGTAGTACAGAAAAACGAAATGTTTTCTAAGCTGTCCTGCCATGTCTCTTCCTGTGAATGGGGGCGTTTGTTCTGACTGTAGCTGCACTGTATTTAACTTTAGTCTGACTGGGGGTTCCTTGGCCCAGGATCAGCACAGTTATGTTTTACTTAGAGCACTCGCTTTCAGTGAGTCTAACATTTCTCTTAGCTTCCTTAGTTTTCTGGAGACCTTTTGGCTTCTGGTTTATTTATTGTTGTTCCAGGGTCTGTGCCTTTTACCAAATTAGATTTTCTCCTCAATTTAACCTTGCTTCTAAAAATAGAAGGTGAAGTTACACTGTCCTCCAACCTTTCTCAACTCCCTTGGAGGTTCACAGGAGAGAAGTAAGCCTAACTCTTGGGTCTCCCGAGGGTGGTACCTAGGTGGTACCCAGCTGGATGCTCAGGAGAAAGATTAATTCATTACATCTACTGATACCTTTGGGGACTGGAGCTTAATTTTCTTGCAGAACCCCAGTTAGAAGGACAGTAAAACTTGCTTTAAATGTATATGAAAGGGGGCCAGTTGGTGGTGTGGTTAAGGCAACTGGATCCCATATGGTTGACTGTGTGGCTCAAGTCCTGGACCCACAGCTTAAAAAACATACCAGATGTGGGAACCAGCAGTTAGCGTAATGGCTGTGTCGCTGGACTCCCACGTAGTCGACCGCAGTTTGCGTCCCGGACCTGGTGGCTTAAAACTCACGCCGGGCACATGTGTGTGCGTGCCCAAGATCCTGAGAGGAGAATGGAGGAAAAGGGATTGCGGTATGACCATCCCCTCTGGGGGGTGATTTCTCGCTTTCTGTCTCTATGTCTCTCTCTGTCTGACGAGCACGCCCAATAGAAAAAAAACCCCCAAAAAAAAAAAAAAAAAAAAAAAAAAGAAAAGAAAAAAAGCATACCAGATATGTGTACATACATGCCCAAAAATCCCAAGAGGAGAATAGAGGAGATGGGATTGAGGCTAGGCCATTCTCCCCCTCCCCCACTGCCGGCCTTTCTCTGTATTTTTCTCTCTGGTGAGTGCATGCACCCTCTGGCAAGTTAAAAAAGAAATATATACTGGGTTGGCAGGTGGTGTGGTGGTTAAGGCGCTGGATTCCCACATGGCTGACTGCAATTTAAGTCCTGGACTGTGTGGCTTGCTTTCTCACTTTCCCTCTCTTTCTGTCTCTGTCTCTCTCTGATGAGTACACATGCCCTATAGAAAATTAAAAATAATAATGATAATAAATAAAATTAAATAAATAATAATTTTAAAAAAATAAATATGTACCAAAGGAAGAGACAGGATGACCAGTGCTCCATCCCTACCTGCATGGCACCAACCAATTCATGGGCACTTTTAGAAGGATCATCTCGTGTAATATGAGGCGTCACTTGAAAAGCTGTGAAAATAACTTAGGCCACTGATAGAGCTGCAATTACTTTTGTCTTTTATTTATTTTTAAAAAGGCTTATAGGAGATCCAGGCTAAGTTGAATGCATTGGTCCCTCTTACAGCTGGAATGATAAAACTAAGACCTTGAAACACTCGAATTGTCTGATAATAGGGTCCATGTCCTTGGGGCAAGCCTGTGACATGGTTAAGGATGCTGAATCCCACATGGCCAACTGCATGGTTGGAATCTCAGACCTGGTGGCTTGGAAAACATGCTGGGCCGGTGTGTGTGCCCAAAATCCCAAAAGGAGAATGGAGGAAAAGGGATTGTGGCATGGTCTTCCGCCCCACGGGTGATTTCTCACTTTCTTTCTCTCTTTCTCTTTCTGGTTAGGGTGCATGCTCTATGACAAATCAAAAAAATAATTGGGGCCATGTCCATTTTGTATTCTTCTCTATCCTTAGCACCTGGAGTATTTGGAATCTTACAGGTGTATAATGAATAATTTTTAAATAAATGTAATATGTACTTTAGACCAGACATACTACATGAATGTACTCTTACTCTCCGCCAAGCTGCCTTTTTTTTTTTTTTTTTTTTGAGGGGTTTTTGCTATAGGGTGCATGCGCTCACCAGAAAGAAGAGAAACAAAGAGGCAGAAAGCGAGAAATCACCTCCCCAGGGGGAATGGCCACGCCACAATCCCTTCTCCTCCATACTCCTCTCAGGATCTTGGGCATGCATGCACAAATGCCCGGCATGAATTTAAACCGCTGGGTCCAGGATTCGAACTGCAGTCGACTACATGGGAGTCCAGCGACATAGTCATTACACCAACTGCTGGTTTCCCTCCAAGCTACTTTTACATGATTTTATTTAAGAACAACCATCAACAAGAGCATGCGATTTTCACTAGAAGTCTGTCTCAAGAAGTTGGGATATCCTGGATCCTGGGCATCAGACTGATGCTGCGTGAGATGAGACAAAGCAGGGTCTTGCTCCTCATCAGGAAATGGTGTGAACCACTGATTTTATTGGGAATAACTTGTTCAGTAATGTGAAGACCGTGATATAAAAATGACCGCCACTGACACTCTATGGGGTAAAAGGCATATTCTTGTGGGTTTGCTGTTCTGACATAACTTTGGTTTTATCTTTACTAGTTCATTGTAACTATAACCACATTTAAAATTAGATTGAGTAGCTTTATTTATTTATTTATTTATTTAGCTATAGGGCACACGTGCTTGCTGGAGAGAGGGAGGGAGAGAGAAAGAGAGAAAGAGAGAGAGCAGCCCTTTTAAAATATTGAGGCTTAAAATGACATCAGAGATGTTTCTCTACCTGTAGGAAGCACAATGTGACTTAGGTGTTGGGGACTTCAATGGGAGTGGGAAATCATTTAGAAAATGTGACAAGGGTTTGACAAGAGAGAAGTCTATATGATTTCAAATACTGTAAAGCTCTTCCTCAACAGTAGTAATACTAGCATTGTCTTGATTACTGTTGTTGTTGTTGTTTCTAATCTGGAGTGTGGTACCATAAGGCATCCTTTATAATTATTGGTTGAAACTGGTACATCAGCCCTGTGACATTACATACAGTTCGTTAGGGCTGTTGGAATTAATGTACCATATAAGAAAACACACACATTTAAAAATTTAAAAAAAAGAGAGAGAAAAACAGGTGAAAAATGGATGCGTGAATGGAAGACAAAAACCCAGGATAATAATGAGATACTAAGCCCTTAGGTAAAAGAAAAATCTTGTGGAGATCTGATTCTTGGGTTTTGGAGCTAAGGATGAGGACGTTCCATGGTCTCAGGAATCAGGGAAGCCCCAGCTGAGGTCTGGATAACTTTGGTCGGCATCTCAAGCTGTTCTCCCACGATTGTGCCAACTTCCGTCTCAGTCTCTACCCAAACCACTACCACACATCCAATTACTTAACTGAAAACCTAGGAGTCATTCTGGATTTTGCCTTTTCCCTTAACCTTCCAGAACTAAGCCCTCAGCAACTCGGCCATTCTGTTTTCAATAACCTTTCGGTCTATTTACTTGTCTCGTTCTCACTGCCATCCCTGGACTATCATTTCCTCCCTGATTGAGTGCAAGAAAATCCTAATCTGCAGGCTAACCACCGTTTCTGTACTGTTACTTGCTATGCTCCATGTTTAAACAGAGTATTTTAAGGTAGTAAATAAAATCAGCTCTCTTTGCTTAAAATCCTCTAAT